ACCAAACCATTTTCTTGTCTTGGATGTTTTCTTTTTCATTTTCTGTTATTTTTGTCCATGATTGGATAGAAAAAAAAACCTATAAATACTCCCAGATGTTTTTAACTTCATTAAAAAATAAAATCGTTTTTGTAGGATGGAAACTTTTTGAGGTAAAAAACCCCCAACCCCAAACTATAGCAAATAAGTTTTTTATTCGACATCCATCTTTGACGTCGTCCCTTAGTGATAACAAATTTATCCTATTAATGATGAGAATATAATCTGCTTGTGAGAATGAAAGAAACTGAAACCCTAGTTAGATACATACCAATGTACCTAGTTAGTGCTGTGATCAGTCATTGGCTGTATATCATGAAATGCTGTTATTTTTCCCGGGTAGGATGACGTGATGGAAGAAGAAAGAATAGAACTACAGTATGGTGAAGCAAAAATTCATAGCAGTTCTGTAAGTTTACAATTTTTACGAAAATTTTATCACTGAAAAATGCATTGTCATTGTACCTAATTACGCACAACCACAAACAGTCTCCATACATATGAAAATGAATCTACTTAGTGTTTGCTTTACATTTGTTGAGCTGTTTCTCAATTCACCCGTCTGTCTGTCTGTATTGTTTTTTCTACAGATTATTGGGTGCCGTTTCAGACGCTCTCCAGCTGATTCTACCAAACGATACACAAAGTGGTGCAATAACTTGACACAGAAACAACTTATCATGCAGGTTTGTACATGTATATTACATAAGATGTGAACAGTATGGTTTGTATGTGAAACCTCTAATGAACATTCAGTGGGAAACAGGTATAGTTGCAGGGCTCAATATAAAACATGGTTCATCTGTTTATGAAGGTGCACGAGAGAAAGAACACTTTGTTTAGGAGTGATTGATTTAAAATGGACAATTTTAGCCTTCATACAATATTAACTTTGTAAAGATATTTATAAATTATCTTTTCAACTGAAGAGTTTTACAGAGGTATATTGAATGTGTTAAACTTTTGATTGGTCTTTATTGTCCTCACGCTATACAAATTCACTTAAGGGGCAGTGAGTGTTATGTGCATTTTTTTTTGTAAACAAACAATATATTTTACATGTGTTGCATAAGCTGCAGTGGGATCTATACCAAACTTGATGCAACACAGTGATCACCATCCTTTGATATGCCATTATGAGTTATTTCACTTGAATGCAGATATTTGACTGAATAGTAATCATGATCTGGTGTTTGTTTTGAAGGTTTACACATCACATGGTCCGACCGTCATCATGCCAACATGGTTCTGTTCACGGGAAGTGTTCAATAAAGTCGGTGGATTTAATGAAGAAGGAAAGGTGGATCAAATAGGATATGAATTTCTGACTAATAATTTTAGTTATGTCAATATGTGTGCATTTGTCTAGAACCATTTTTCAGGCATGCTTTGACCAATCGCTAACACAACACCATGTATAATGACTTACATATGCACATTTCTATTTGATCAAATTTGGCTGACTGGCGGCCATTTTGGTCTTCAGATTTGCTTAATTCTAATATTTATATGTGTATAGAAGTGTTTCTCGGGAATGAATGGAGCTGTACATTGTAAATGATCGTTATTCAAGGGTTGATGAGTAAGGGCAGGGAACTACAGTGTTGCTGACATCCTGTGTTGCTGACTTACGTTTAAACGTCTACATTCAACGTCACAAACCTGGTTTCACAAACACATTGTGAATCTGTGTAATATTTATTATTCTGTAGGGTGTGCCAGAAGATTTAATATTCTTCTTAGAGCATCTAAAACAAGGTGGTAGTGTGTACAGAGTAGATAGATGCCTTCTGATGTACCGGTATCATCCACAGGCAGCAACACACTCAGTACATTGGTAAGCTGACTATAACATAGATATTAATGATAGCCACAGAATTGAATTTTATCCTTGATCCATGATTTCTAGCTATGTTCTACAGACTTATTGTATTTCTATGTTATTTTGTGGGTATACTATTTTCTATATTAAAATGACTTGAAATTCCGAAGGGTACCGAGGCCAGTAATGCTATTTTGAACAGACATTGCACTCAATCAACATTTTGAAAATTGTTTTAGAATATTCTGAATGGCATATTTCATCTTTGGTCACATGACCTTTCTTCTTTGGTCACCTGACCTATTATTATTTTTCATCTGTACAATACATCTAAGTGAATTTTCCTGAACCCCCTTCTCGACAGTGATACCATCTGGAAAATCCGAATGTCTGCAATCCAGGAAAGGGTTCTTTCTCAGTGGGGTTCTCTTACCATATGGAATGCTGGCAAACAAGGCAGGAAGTTCTACAGGTCATTGACAGAGAAAAATAAAAAAAAGGTGAGCAATAAAAAAAAAAAGATGAGTATACTTATTTATTCTGGTGCCCAAGCATAAGTTGACTGCCCTCTAGTGGCCACAGGGGGTGTTTCTGTTTTTTAGCTCCGCTGTCGACTTTGTCGAGCGGAGCTTATCATATGAGTGATTGTCCGTCGTCGTCGTCGTCCGTCGTCGTCCGTGTCAATGTTTTACTTTTTCGACTTCTTCTTGAAAACTACAAGCCTGAATGCTTTGATACTTGGTGTATATGTACCTTGGGTGGACCTCTCTTAGGTTTGTTCATTTCATGTTGATATCTTCAATTCTCTAATTTTGGTGAATATTTTTGTCATTTTTGGTAAAAAGTGATATTTTCGACTTCTTGTTAAAAACCGCAAGTGCAATTGCTTTGATATTACATATATAGGTACTACATGTCGACCTCTCTCAGATTTGTTCATTTTGTAATGATATCTTTAATTCTCTAATTTTGGTGAATATTTTTGTCATTTTTGGTAAAAAGTGATATTTTCGACTTCTTGTTAAAAACCGCAAGTCCAATTGCTTTGATACTACATATATAGGTACTACATGTGGACCTCTCTCAGATTTGTTTATTTCGTGATGATATCTTCAATTCTCTAATTTTGGTGAATATTTTTGTCATTTTTGGTAGAAAGTGATATTTTCGACTTCTTGTTAAAAACCCCAAGTCCGATTGCTTTGATATTACATATATAGGTACTACATG